CCGTGATTTTTCATATAAAGTAATTGATAATGAAGTGTGAAATGATTAAATCTTAAGCGAGCACTAAAGGGTATAACAAAACAATTATAGACTGGGATTAGGGCAACATATGATTTGTTGGACCTGCAGGTGAAAATGTTGCCCTTGGCCTGGGCCTCGGGCAACATTTTCACCTTCAGGTCCAACAAATCATATGTTACCCTCATACCCAGTCAATAACTGTATAAAATAGTTTTCAAGTTGAATCTATTCGACATTGCATCCAGCGTGTTAAATGAGTCATTTCTAGTATTTGAGAGCGACCGTATTCTACGTGTAATAATTATTGGTTGTAGGTTTTTATAAGATCCTTTTGGGGGCAATTTTCGCAATTTAGGCAAGGTTTTTGAGTAATATTGTCATTCAATTTTCTGCTAATTTTAGATGTTGTCAGTGTCATTATATTATTCAAGGTTATATTTGTTAGTTTTTTTTTTTACAATTAGATACCACAGACTTATATACATGTATTTGTTGTGATTTTATTTAAACGACTCCGATGTATTTAAATAAATTTTAATTTGTTTTATTATAATTATTAAACATCTAAGTATATTTCTTTTTGGTTGATATTTTGTACAGGAATTAATCTGAAAGAACATGAGTTGATGAGTTGATACCGTATGACAGCCATATGCTCCACTAACAAAAAAAAATACTTTAAGTTCCCGTATTTCAGATAGCCACTGTAAAAAAAAAATACAGACCGAAAACGATAAAGCTGATATAATATTAAGACAATAAACATTAATTATTACCTGAAGAAAATGGTAGCAGAGAAAAAGACGAACATCTAGATATATGAGGTGGGATCAGGTGTCATGGAGGAGCGAGCTTCTCCTTTCCAACTTTCTCTTTTTCACACCCGGCCCTTGTTATGATTTGGCAAACAAAATAATTTGTAAAAAATGATTTAAAAAGTAAGCAATTCTTATGGAATGAGTGGTAAATTTTGAATACATATTGTTCCGTTTCACGAAATTGAACCCGATGTTTATAACTATTTAAATATCTCTCAATGACAAATTAACGACAGAATTGATTTAATTGCATTTATCACCATATTGGGATAAATGCTTTTGATACCAGTGCAAAGGCGATAACTCGTGCGTTCTTGGTAGTGGTAAAACAATATTGAGACTTTGGGTTTTTAATAGATGACGCAATATTTTCAAGCACCTTATGACACTGGTTGTCAAAATCTACCGAAAAAGCTAGAAGGGCAGACATGTTGCAAAATTTCATCATCCCACCCTTCCCCAAAAATTGTGTACATATTTCTGCTGCTATCTCTTCTGTTATTTCAATGACAAAAGCCTATTATTCAATGGAAATTGGTGTTTATGTGGAACACGGTTGGAATCATAATCAAAGGAAGGATGTGGTCATGATGTTTATGGTTGGATCATTTGGTGTTTATTGGACATTTTCTGTTTAAACAAATGATATACCCCAGGAATCGTTCGGTCCAGGGTCATAAACGGTATTAAGCGTGTACATCGGCACCAAAAAGCAAGCGTAATTTTTACATTTCTTTTACGGCAATGCTACATTCTACCTATTTTAAGGCATTGCAACCCACTATTGACTTACGGACTCATTTCAAAAATCAAACAATGCCTATAGTTAAAAATATAGAATACAGGTCCTCGGAAAGGGAAACACCTTACATTGTAGGAAAAGAGAATACCCCAGGTTCAACTCGTCACCGTCTTAATTTATTTGAATAACATTGTAGGAACAGATAATATCCAAAATTCAACTCGTCACCGTTTTAATTTATTTGAATAACTTTTCTCCTTACATATATACATCTTAATTTTATCGACTCTGAAAAAAATAACTGTTCCTAAGTCTCATACATTATTACCAATTTATCTATTATCATTATTTATTTATGTCACATGTTTACCTTTTTCAGTCTGTATAATATTAAGAAAATGTAGTATGTTGTTGGAAAATATGTACAGTGAAAAAATTTCTCTGTAAAACCAAATACCAGGTAGGTTGCCCTTATAAGAAATGCAGAAAATCATTTTCAATTTTGTAGTTTTTAGAAAATGTTGTCAGACAACAGCTTGAATTTGAAATTGAATAAAAAATAATCGTAATTTAATTCAAAAATCTACATTTTCTTTTTTTGGTCCTGTCTGGCTATTGTCAACTTTAACCTAGACCCCAACTATTGCGCTGTAAAGTTTAAGGCTTTGATATTTGATATGAGCATTCATTATGGCGAGACATTTCAATATTGGTACAGGTTTTTTTTAACTTGTGACCTCAACTGTGGCCTTTGACCTTTGTTTGAAAAAAAAATTAAAATTGGTCATAACTATTTCACTGTAGCCAAACTCTATTGCACTACCAAAGGTTATGCTTTAATATTTTGGAATGTGCGATTTTCCAGTCTAAGTTCTTAGGTATTTTTACCTTTGCTACATGTACTCTTAATCCAAACATTTTTTTTCAAATATTTATTGATTGATTATATGTTGTTTAATCTCCTTCTCGAGAATTTTTTACTTAAATAGAGACGCCAGCATTTTCCGGTGGAGAGCTGCAAATTCTCTCCTCTACTCGGCAATTGCGGTCATTGAGCTTTGAGGGATCTTTTTCTTGTGTCAGCATCTACTGCCACACAGGACCTCAGTTATTACGGTCTTATCCAAAGGACCGGTCTCCACGTCCCACAGTGGGATTCGAACCACTGACTATAGGATCCACTCCTTAGTTTACGACTCTAGAGCAGACGTTTTAAAAATGCGTCACAGGGCAACTTTTCACAAAAGATTATTTTTAAGAAATGTAAACTAAATTTTTCTTTCACAGATTTATTTTTCACGAATTTTGAAATTTCTTTTAATTTTTCTTTTTTTTGCAATAAAATTGTTAGCAAATGTTTTATGTTTTGTTTATCTAAAGCACATTTCGGGAATTCTGCATGATAAAGGGGTGCAAACTTTGATTGTTATATTACCTATTTGTCATCCAATTCATACAATCTAAGATCTGAAAAACTTGTGTGGCACAAAACCAAAATATTTCAAAATTCTTTTCAATATTGTGTTTTGTTTATCTCCATCACTTCAAAGTTTTAAAATCAAGTCAAGAAAATTTATAATAAAAAGCACTTATATAATTGTATATTGTAGACTGTATTATTAATGAAATTCTGTTTTATTATGTATAATACTGCATACAACATTGTTGAATGTACTATTTATCAAACTTTGATTGTCGTATTTACCTGAGAACAGTTTGCTGTGAATGTCAACTTAATTTTCATTTTGTTACCATTTACACTTTGGAGTTCACTCAGACTGGTTTCATCAAACTCTTCATCTGATTGACCAAATGAATCTATTTTATCATATGAAAACGCAACTTCGTTTAAGTAAAACTTTGTGAGATTTTGATTGGAATCCCTCTTCCCTGTTCGATTGATGACTGTAATTGTCAGATTAAACATTAATTTATTGTTTTTGTCAACAGATTTGGTTTGTGCTTGGTGAGTTCTTTTCGTTGTGAGTTCTAAATGAGTTTCATGTAGCTGGATTATCAGTCACCTACATCCATCTACGTCCATATATCGCAATGCAGTGACCATTATTTAACCTTTATCAAAACAATACACTCTCATTTTAATCCAATTTATTGATTTAATAAATTTTATTTGAAACCAAAAAATTCTGTGGTCAATATACTTCAAAATGAATTAATATTTAAATTTTCAATTTCAATGTAAACAACTTTTCTCAACCAAAATATTCAAGACAAGCAAATGTTAAAATAAAAAGAACTCACAGTAAGTGAGTTCGATTATTATCATTCGGAAAACAAAATCATAATTGGAGATATATATATATAAATTAAAACTATCTATATTAACATAGGGAACTTTACCATTGCATGCTCCAAACATCCTTTGATGATAGGTTTTAACTCTACTGAAAATGAATTTAAGAATACTATATACATTTTTAATCTGCATACCAAATACCTTATCTATTCAGGGATAATTTAAATGCAGTATATATGTACTGTAACATTTGTCCCATCCAACATATGAGAAAATCATTTCTCTGTAAATTTAACCTTTAATTAGGTTTTCATCTATTGCATGTTTATACGTGGCAATGCAAGATGTGTTTAAAAAAAAACAACAAAATGTGCCTTAGATGCAGGTCGGACTTTACATATATCTATGTGCTACATGTAAACACAAACAATTTGTAGTCTCTTAAGTAATAAAATGGAAAATTTATTACATCAAATAACTTTTTTGTTTGCCTTTATTCAATTGTTCTATAAGAAAGTCAACAGTCTACAAACTAAGTCATGAAAAATATATGTATATAGGTTTCACACTTAAATTATAAGGTGTTTCATTATGCATCAATTTCAAACTCATGGTTTTTTTTTTCAAACAAAGATCACATAATTTAATGTTAACTCTACACACACATGAATATTTATGTAACGATTAATGGAAATCATATTTTTACCATCAGTTTCTAGATAGTGTTAAAACTTTATTTACTCAGTCGACCAGTTGTTTAATGCATGCTTTATTTCTTCTGCAACATCTTTCATCGACTTGAGCTTTTCAGCAAGGCTGATTAACTTCTTTTGGTTTGCAATTATTCTCTCCCGGTTTTCAGAAAGTTCTTTGATCGTTTCTTCGATGAATTTTATTCTTCTTTGCAAAATAACATCCGTGATCTTTGATATCAATTTATTCAATGCATCTCCATGGTTGCTTTCCATTGAATTGCATATGTGTGATCTAAACGTTAATTTACATTTATCATATTCCTTATCTATTAGTTTCTTTTTCCTACTATCTCTGCCTAAAAATGCAATGATAGGTGCCGCAAAAGGTACTGAAGCTACAGCTATGGCAACTCCTGCTGCCAGTAGGGGAAACCATATTGGAGACGTAGCTATAATCCCTGCAACATACGGGGCAACGGATTCCTCTTTATAACTTATTTCTCTCTTCGAATAACTTACATCGACAGTCCCTGTCCATGCGTTTTCTATTTTTTCTATTTCGAACGAAATTTCTTTATAGAATTCCAATATGTCATCTTTTATATTCTTGAACTCCTCAATTACTTCGGGAGACCGAACTCTTTCATTTATGTAGTGGTCAATTCTGGCTTGGACGTCATCACCTAGTGTTGTTGGAACATAGGTTACCTCCATTATAGGATCCCAACCCTTTGGATTCAAGATTCTCTCTTTACCATTATCCGATGACATATATTCAAAACTATCCTTTGCTTCTTGCTCTATAAAACTTTTAATACGTTTTCGCCAGCAATGGCTTTTCTGGAAATGAAAAATACGTTGAATAAATGTCCATTATTTATTTCAAATACTTTATTTCTCTTTAAGCATCTAAAGTTTCTTTTTTCGTTGTTGACAAATATCTAACAAATTGATGCTCGAAATTACTGAAAGTCTTATCAACTGCAAATCATCCGTAACGCAAAATTAAGTAATTCATTAAGAAGATATTCGCTAATTTACAGTTTCATTTTTCCCTCCTACGACGGGTTGTTGGTGAAATGCTACGGGTTACTACTATTAATTTTATAGCCAAATATATGATAGAAATGATTTGCAAATTCCAATTCCCATCTAAATGGTAAATGGTTTGTATAAAAAAACATCATCATTTTTCTTTATTGTTTCAACTATTTGATTGGCTCAAAATAGATAACATGGTCAAGCATAAAAAGTGTTATAGACTGGATGTTTCTATTTTAAAAACCTGCTGTTTTCTAAAATTGAAAACGTTTTTCTGTGAAGCAGCAATAGTGCTGACATCACAATAGTCTTTATAAACTGGATGTTTCTAAAAACGGATACTGCCTTTGGTATTCATTACTGTGACGTCATAATGCAAATGACATAACAATGTCTTATATACATGTAAGAACGTACTATTGTTAGAAAGAATGGTTTTAAGACATTTCTTATTAACTGATAAAAAAAAATAAAACAATTGTATCCTTTTGATTCGGCACAATCCCTAGATATATAGACCTTAGGAGAAGCATATTGACCTCGCACTATATGTCTTTATATCTAGGGATTTACCTCATCAAAAGGCTATGATTGTATAATAATCAAACTTCAAAAAATCAACAACAACAAAAAGAAATACAATTTTGTGATGAGGGCATAAAATATGGACCCCTGGCAAATCAAGAGTGGGTCAGTAGCAGTAAGGAGTAAGCTCTCGCATTTTATCCGGTCAAAGGCAAGGTGATTTTCATGTTTTTAATAACCCTATTCAAAGTCTAAAGTTAAAAAACAAAGACCTTACATCCGGTATACAATTATTTAGAAAAGATACAAACCTATGATTAGTCATGCTTTCTAACTAGGTCAATATAATAGCCATAGAGTCCATGAAATACCGAGTGGCTTTCAATAAAGTTACTGAAATTTCTGTAACATATGATTTGAATACCGTTTTGCATTTTTCTCTGAGCGAATCAATCTGCATTTGATGCTCTTTTCTCTTTTTCTCTTGTTCATCTTTGGATTTTTTGACAAGTTCTTGTCTAGTGCGAACCCCTGTGCATACATCATCCAACAGTGTATATAGATATCTGAAATAAAGTACAAAACAACTGAGTTGATTTTGTGGTGTGTGTAAGCATCAACACATACCAATATACTTTCCTATACTCTACAATTCCTAATTCCCCCTCTCCCTCTCTTTCTCTCCATCTTTTTTTTAATTTCAATCCGTCCAATACTCCATCGTTCCATCCATACATACATACATATTTAAATACATAAACCCAAAAAGTGTTCAAAAGAAAAGCTAGCGTAACCTGTGTTGAGGCATCCTTATAAAATCTACTGAAGTGAGTTCAAAGAAAAGGTCTGAAATTAATACCTAAAATGTTCTGTGGTTCTTATATTTTCGTTTTCCATCACCATCTTTTCTAAACACCTTCGAAACTGATTAAACTCTAGGGTTGCAGTTTCCTTTTGATATACCTAAAGACAATAAAAAAGAAATATATATATAAATTAATAATATTTTACAGTTTTTTTAAGTTTAGAAAAATACTAGTAAGTTGGTGCTCAGTATATTTGATATAAATTGCTTAGTGATTGTGATAGTTGTTTATTTTGGTTGAAATGTACTATTTGAAAATATTAAAGTTTTGTAAGAAATCGCGGTCATTAAAGGTCGCCGATAGTGTACACGATCAAACATAAAATGTTATAATAAACATTTTCAATAAAGTTTTTAATGATTTTTTTTTTTGTTTTTCATATAATAAAATGATAAGGATGCAAGTATTTTTTTTGCTATTTTTGGTATGATTTCTACTTAGTTTTTCTTAATACCGATTGCTATACTGATGACAGTAGTCATATTTGAATATAATGATTTTGCTATGTATATTTTTTATGGAATGTATCGTAATTTGCGGTCATTATCAATAAAATCTTCATAAAGTTACGCAAAAAGCTTTTTTTTGTGTCTGACTTCACTTGGCGGGGACAATTGAAATTAACATGTATGGCCAGTTGTGTTTTAAATCTATCAGAGATGATTTTTTGTTTAATTTATATTTATAATTTTAATACACATAAATGTTAATATAAGAATTAAATGTCTAGTTTGTTGGGTATGCAAGGGTCATCAACAATAGTTGGAAATCTTGGATAATTTATCCACAATGGGCTTTGTTCGGTATGGAAATTAGCCCATGTTTCCAACTCTCCTTGACCCTCTGGCAATTACCCAACAAACAAGACAGTGATTTCTTAAATAGATTTTCTTAAAAATAATCATGAAAACAGCAACAGAAATAATATTAAAAAATTCTATAAATATATTTTATATTAATAAATATTAATCTATTTGCATATTTTAGATGATCTAACATTGATAGAAAATGTAATATTTTCTATTCTAAGAGGAAAACCAGTGTAACATAACTTACATCTGTTAGATTCATTCTGAAGATATTTTCTTTTCTGACTGAAGGCCAGTGTCTCTTTATTCTTTCTGATAATTTTTTCCATGTTTTTTCGACCTCATCCTCATCGCTGCTGTCCTCTGGGTCTTTCTTAATGGAATCCCATTTGTTTGTTATGAAGATAACACTTCGTTGATCAAAACAAGGCATTTCATCATCCATTTGTAAGTTTGTAATTGCTCTTAGTATTTCTGGAAGCTATGAGAAATTTTAGTGCAATCTTTGTTTTTTTGTTTAAACATATATCCAATATTCATTTAAAAATTGGGAAATAAATATATTATTTGATTTATGTTAACAATAATGAATATATATTTGTTAAACTTGAAACGATGGAAGATTGATACGTATAATTTCTGTCGTTATACGTAAATATATATAAAAATGACTTAACAGCTATTTTAAATAATCGGCAAGCGATATGAAGTATAACAAAGAAAAATAAATCATGAACATATCAAACAGTAATTGAACTAAAAGATTCATTGACATAGCCCAAAATATCTAAAATATATCTAAAACATCAGAGGTAGGATTAGGTTCATGGAGGAGTAAGCATTTCACACTGCATTATGATACTAAACTGAAATAATTGATTGTGGAAAAAAGAAAAACACTGGTATTTCTTTGTTAATGTTACCAAATATATTCGCAAGCCTTTATCTACAAAAATTAATTTGAATTTTGCACTAATATTTTAGTACGGTCAAATAAAATCCCCACACTTTAAATGTAAGTCGCTATTCTGCAAAACTCGTTATGACAAAAAATACTTTTACGAATATTAGTATCATGGCTTCGACACTTAAACAGAACAGTCTTGCATTAATATGGGGTGTGTAAAATATGATTTGTATTTTATTTTTATTTATTTTTTTATTTATTTATTTTTTTTTTTTTTTGCATCAATGGTCATCTGCAAACCTTAATTGATGAAAATATCCTGATAATTTATCTGTCCTTTGGAGCTGATATCTAAATAATACTTCAGAATCTTATTTGCAATATCTTTGGAGATAGGTCTCTTGAAAATCTCTTTGAATTGCAATCTGGTGAAACGATTTCTGTTTTCTTAAAAAAACAGAATTTATTCACAATTTTCAACTTGAAAAGAACACCTTTGAATTTTTTTTACATTCAGAGATACCCATGACTTTTTTAATCAGCTAACAATTATCATATTAATTATTTGTTGTTTGGATGTATCCCATTGAACTAGATATTAGAGAACATGCGGATTACTTTTAATCAATTAAATATTTGCAGGTTTTATAAATTAAAATAAAAAAGAACATTCAAGGGAAACTAACGATTTATTATTCTAATAATTGCTTTATCCTCAACATATTTTCTCCAAGGTAAAAAATTCGCAAGATCAAACGTATAAATGCTACTGATTACAATTTCTTCTGTAAAGTCGGCTCGGAAAATACGCTCTAGTACAAAACATTAGCAATCTTGTGTAAAGTCAACATTTCGCAAGATCTAAGTACAATAAATGTCGCAAAAACAATCGATGGGTCGAATGATTACTTATGCTTCTCTTAAAAAATTTTAGCCTTTCATTATCACACTGAATTTTCTTCGGAATTGTAGGTTTGCATATACATAGCCATTGGGTAAGCTCTATTAAACCTAACTCTTTTTAAAAGGTCTATGCATATACTTCTCAAAAAATGTATAATTCTGATGGACTCTAGCATGATTACTGCTTGTTACATTCATTCTCAAATAACCTCTTTTCGAATGCATACTACAAAATGTCCATATCAATTTCTAATTAGCCCTTTCACGGTAACTACGGTACTACTCTTCTGCAGGGTAAATTTTAGGCGAAGTTTTTGTTGATAGATAAATAAATGACTTTTTTAAAGTTGATTAAACGTCATAGTTTACAAAAATTTTTAATTTTGCCCCTTTAAAAGAGTAGTACTGTAGCTACAGTTATGATGTAAGGTTTTATTTATTATTTAAGAAAATTACCCTGTCTCTTTGCATCCCCCCTGCACTTGCTATATTGATCACAAATATGAAAGAAACAGCATTTGGCAAGTATTCCATTAACTTTTGACTGACTTTTCCTGAGCCTCCGATGCCTGGTGCATCCACCATTATTGTGTTACCCTGGGAGATAATAATGAATGGAATATTAATAGGTTTTAATTTTTGTATTCATTGTATTCAATATATAATAGTAAGAAAAAAAACTTTTCATTTCTAAACGTAAAGATATGATTTGATGTATTATTATAAATACCTTTAAAAAAGATAGTGGTAATCCAATATCCACACTTTTATACTTCCTACTGCCTTTTTCAATGGTCATATCTGTAAGATTTTTCAAAGTATCTCGAAGAGTTTTTTCCCCTTCCTTTGTTAGTACATCAATGTCACTCATATCTATACGCTCAACCTCACCATTTTCTGACTCAGTTTTTATCACAACTTTGTCAGAGTTTCGTAATTTGCAGACTGTTGATGTAGATTCCATGTTTCTGCCTTTGAAAATTCTCATTTCTAGTATTTTGTTAATAAGGGTGGATTTTCCCGCGCTTGTTTCTCCTGTTAAGAGAATTTCAGGCTGATATAAAAGAAAACATTAATTGTATTCTTTTAAATAGGGTTCATAAAATGCTTGATAAGATCAATCTACGGTTCTATATGTACCATTTGTCTTCGAATATTATTATAAATTAATGAGCATTATTATCACGTTTTCCTTTAAATTTCAGAATGTATTCAGAAAAACATAAATAAAACGATAACATTTAAGGACTTCTAATGATTTTCAAAATGATCACTTACTATAAACACTGCAGTTTGGAATTTTGTACTAATGCCACCTATTGTACTTTGATATTTGAAACTTATTAAAGTTTCAAATATTCTTGCTTCAAATATAACTGAAGATTGAGGCATTCGAATGTTATGAAAAAAGTTAAACTGTACCTGCTACAACAATGCCATGATCTGATCTCATAATATCCTTCTTTCGTTTAGCAATAGACGTCATATAATCTGGAGATGCTTTTTCCAGGCATTGTCTTAGGTTTGTATCATATTCCTTACTTTCAATGATCTTCATTAAGTCATCAAACATGGTAATTATCAGCTTCTGAATATCATTTTTATTCCTTGTAAGTCCTTTTTTGATTAATTGACTAAATTGTGAAGAACAAGATAAACCAATTAAGGAGTACACTTCAATTGCAAGATATTTCGAAGGTAAAAAAAAAGCTTAACCATGTCTTATATGGTAGGGTGGTAGAAATTATTTTTCCGTCTACTCTCAAACTGAAATCTTTATCAGTGTATGATTATAATATACCGATATACATGCTAATTGATTTTGTGAAGACTAACGTTCAATCTTACAGCACAGAATACAATTTAAGTGCATTTAAGTCTACTGCTCGAAAAAAAAAGATTTGTCCCACTAAAGGAGTAAGTAACATTATAAAACAGCGATTCAAAAACGCACTCATTCTTCTAAAATCCAAAAATGCAAAAACATCGTGCCAGATGGTCAACAAAGCTCACATTATATACATGTTTATGTATTTTACAATGTAAAAAATTTAACGTACGTTTCAATACACTGTTAATTTGTGTTGATTTATTTTTTATAACTTCGAATAACATTAGCATTGTACCCACTACCAACTGTACCAAGCCGTCGACACAAGTTTCTCGAATGCATATACATGTATCTATTATTTTGATTGATTGAATTAGACATTGAATACATTTTTGCAGGAAAAGAAAACAACATTTTTTTTCTTCAATAGAACTAGAACTATTTGTTAACAAGAAAATCGTTGAGGGAAAATAATCAGTTCCTTATTTAAGGAATTGAATGTATAGCTTCGAATCTTCCTTCACTTTAAAGTATCATCAGTTTTGTTAAATCCAAATCGATAACAAATTAATGAAATTCCAATGCTCGGATACAAACTCCATTTCCGATACTTGCCGATGAAATCCTGGACAGGTTTTTGGTGGTAACTCTAAACCATGTTCACTGACTTTGCTTGCAGGAGTTTTAGTTAAAATTTGCTGTTTAGATATTTTCTCTGGCTCTGGTGAATGTGTAAGAGTTTCTTCCTGTATTTCCCTCGAAGCATTCTGTTGAAAGCCATGTCTAGTAGTGGATGAGAAGCTCGTTTTGATAAACATGCACATGATTTAAATAGGAAAATGATACTAGTTGTGAAGTATAACCGTACTGTTTATGAAATGAATGTTCAAAAATAAATAAGACATTGGAAATATTGGTCTAAAAAGTTCTTCCAAAATAGCAGAGCGGATTTATTTAGTCTAACATTTATACATTTACGATATTAGGAAAAATACACAAGTCGGATAATGTGACCTAAAGTACACAACACATTACTGAAATAGGCTTACATTGCATGTGATTGAAAAAAAATATTCGCATTCATTTAGCAAGTTAAAAAAGAAATATGAGTACACAGGTATAAGGTTAGTTTATGATCAGCTCAAACCCATACCTTGTTTGTTTTTTGAGGCCATCAGGCGATTTCAGATCTTTGCTCGACTTGTCCAAGATCTGAATGTAGAAATTTATTAAGTGAAAGAAAACCGGATTAAATCCTCAAATTCAAAGTACATTTTTACATAGCGTGACACATGTAATTGTCTAACAGATGTCGAGTCATTCTGCCTGGAAGAGTTTAGTTAATTAATGTGAAATATACATGTACAATACATCCCATTTGAAAATAAGGTATCTTCTGTCATTTAAGTTTTTTATTGTCACAAATTATACATATAGGTATTTATGACTTGTTTTTTTAGGGATAAATACATGGTATGGTAGTAGATTTTTCTTTTTTGGTAATCAAATTTAAATAAAAGTATAAGTTTAACATGTTTCAATTAAGAATGTTAACGATGATATTTAAAGTGACAATTGTCTGCGACAATTTTCAATCAGATTTGAATTATAATTTACAACTTGCTTTAAATGAAGCAGAACTTATGCAAAATCTTATACGTGAAAAGAAAAAAACACTTGTTGTGGCCTTCAAATCGACATTTAGATACCGGTATATCGACGACATATTGTCTATTAACAATGATCGTTTTCATATCTATGTCGATAAAATATTTCATGGTGAGCTTGAGACAAAAAATACCACAAAATCTGACACTTCTGTTTCATACCTGGATAGATATTTTACTTGAAAATGACGTTTATGGTAATCTAACGACCATGTTCTATGATAAACGTGATGAATAAAATTTCTATCGTAAAACCTTCCTTACTTATGCAGCGTTATACCTTTAATACCTGCAAATGGAGTTTATATCACTCAGTTGATTCGATATGCAAGGGCATGCTCTACGTATGAATACATGTAACTTTTAGAACGAGGTAAATAATTGACAAAGAATTTGATGAAACAATAATATCAAATGTCTCGTTTAAAGTAATCATTTCGTAAGTTCTATGGTTGATGCTATGACCTTGTCTCGCGAAGTAAGGAGTTGATCCTTACCTCGCGGGTTCGAATCAACTTTTGGACATGGTGACCGGGTCCTTCGGATGACATCATATAAACCAAGGTCCCGTGTCGCAGTAGGTGTTGGCATGAAAAAGATCCCTCCCTGCTCAATGGCCCTGAGTGTCGAGTATAAGACAAAATTTGCAGCTCTCCATCGGCAAGTGGTGGCGTCTTCATATAATTGAAAAATTCTCGAGAGGAATATATGCAATCAATCTGACCTTGTCACCAAATGCAATTTATCATTGAGTCAAATTGTGACACACGTTTTCGTTACTAAATTTAAGTCCGTTATTTATACACTGAATTGACGACGATTTTTCCGTTATATCCCGATTATGACAAAGAGCCTTCGGCGGGTATGACCGGTCGGCAGTAGATGCCCTCTTCTCCATGGCACCTGATCCCACCTCTGATGTTTTGGAGGTCCTTGTTTGCTCTGCTCCTATTGTGTATTGTGTGATGGAATTTGATTTTGAATACTTCATTAGAGCAAAATAGGAAATTAGAACAATATACGACACATGGATATTGAATTTGGGTACCACAAAGTTTTCGTAAGGCAAGGATAGAGTACAAGCGTTGCCGATCCCTTCATCATAGTTTGACCTGAGCCCAAATATCACAATCATATTTCAAGGAGATAAAATGTATTTTTTCCTGCTACATATATTACATTTGATATCTAAATCGAGCTATATGTAGCTGACTTGGTCACATCTTTTCAGTTGAATCTATGAAGCCATTGCATAACGTTGTAACATGAATGACGTAACAATCCTTCTAGACCATCGGAATGCATACACAATTCTTTACAATGGCATAAACCGAAAAACGCTTTGTTCATTAGGTAAGGCTTATCTAGTCATTACGAGCGGTTATTATAGGAGATATTAAAATATTTTGATTCTAAAATAAAATATTGATAAGAAAGTCAATGAGATAACAAAATTTGAAAATTGGTGATGATTTCCAAGTTTTTAGTAATGGTGCCGGTTCAGACGTTTTCCTGGCACGTAAAATTTCAAATCATAAAAAAGCCTAAAATACTTCAGATATTTTGGACTAATCAGAGAGTAATTTTGGGGTCTTCATAAATCGATCTAGTGCAAAGAAATACACTGAATGATTCATAGTAAACTTTTATAAATGAACTTTAGAAGTATTAAGGCATCTGAAAAGTGCTTCAATCCTGATGAAATCTTGAAAAAAAAAATAACTATATCAATATGCCCATGCACTAGTGCACTATAGGTAACCTCAATACTGCAGGTAAATGTGCTAAAATCACGTGACTGTCGGATCACGTGACATATCTAAATATAAAATCTGATCGTCCTCAATATGTAGTTAATAACCATAATTACAATTATCAGATATAAATGATGTACTAAAAATAATCGCCATCCAGATTATGAGTACATCTTTAATTAAAAAATATCATTTCCTTTGCGTGCATTAACTGTACTGCGTTATCAACAATACTTCGTTTAGAGTATTTCACAGTTTAATTTACAATATTTTACTCCAAATTCTATGAAATCTATGCCATTTCAAAAATTCGAACTGTATCATTTATTGATCAATTTTTATAGCAATATACTCGTCACAAATTTATTGTGTACTGAAGAAAATAAACAAATTTTATTTTATTTGTTTTATGGTGTAATGTATCAGCTGTTCTTTTAAGGAGGAACAGCTCCTTTAGCTGAAAAAATTGCAGTCAATGATTTTTTTTCGAATTTTTTATGTACCTGGTTTATTATGTATTTTATATTTCAAAAGGGTCCTCTCCTGAGATTTCTTGACTGATTTATACGGTGTCGCCGAATAAATTTCGCCCTATATAGTGTTTAAATTAAATTTCGACACTTCATGTCTACAGGTCCATTAATACAGGTTTTTAATGCACAAATAATAAATATGTTTGATATCACTATACCGCACAGGATATTGTTTAATAAGATGTAAGGATGATAAAACGCTTCACGTTTTTATATTTTCCCGAGTGCGGGAAATAAAAGTTCACAAAGGATTGTTCATAAGAATAACGTTTAACATGTTCATCTGCAGAGAATCTGACGTAATCTGTCTTTTGAGTCATGTGACATGTGCCCTTTCTCCCCTTAAATGACCTATTTCAATGATTTTGAGCTTTTGCTGTATAGTGCAACTGTCGATATATCATGCATTACTTACCTTTTCTAATTTCTCTGTGAAAGGAGTCTCAAAAAATGGTTTGAATGAAATATGAGGTTTTTTCTTTCTCAAGTCATTTATATCAATAGGTTCACTTGAAACACTCTGTTCTACGGAAGGTTCCGAAATCTTTGCCACCTGTGCCTGAGTCCTAAAATGGAAGGTTCTATCTAATGATATCAAGAAATTTCTATCTTATGATATCAAATAGAAAAGCTGATTAAGACTTAACTTTAGACCATTATAAAGCATTAAAACTCTGTATTGCACTTTGTGTTCTTTATCATACCAAAACCTACAGTGACAAGGGACTTTGACTTTCAGTTTTAATACTGTTGGAGAAGGAAAGTCAGTCTCTTTGTTCACGTCGTATGTTTGATATAACGCAGTAAATTAGAACACTTCCAGACCCCTGATCACATTGCGAGTTTTTTATTGCTAGGCTACCGTGGCTGGTTAAAGATTAAACAAAGCAAAAAACATACATACACTTGAGAAGTGTGTGCGGGAAATTCATGAGCCGGTTGATTTTTTCTGTAAAAGGAGGAAAGAAATTAGATCAACAAAATGCCTTTTAAATAAATAAACTTAAATTACATTTTGTAAAAATTATAAGTCGGTTATTTATACAATATGTATAAATGAATGTTTTCTATTCTGCATATAGGACCCTGCGTTTCATCAATAAATCAATTGTTTAAAATACTTTTAACTTGAAATCATAAATTCTCGTTTACTTAGTTGTTTTCAAGTTATGAAGAGACACAGCTATTCATGTCCACCATAAAATATAAAATGTTGCACATATAACTACTCAACAATTATTTATCCACAAAATCAAATCCACTCAAAACAAGTTTTTTTTCCTCAAACAGCGAAACTTTGACCCCACAAAAATATGTGATTTAACAGTAAAAGCATGTTTATGTACTCTACTTTTAAAAATGATTCAGGGACATATGACTAAAATTTGAAATTGAGCAGTGTAAATGCTTTTTTTAAAATTTTGTTCTATAGTGTTCAATTGCACTGTAGTGGTGCATGTTAATATGTTAGAAAATACATGGTTTATTGATTTTTTTAACATAAAATCCTGCACGTTGGCAGCATGCTGCTAACACTTAATGAATTAATTGTTTGATAAATCAATAGCTCAAGTTTTTTTTATCCATATAATGAATAACTAGAATAAAATGAGGCTTACAAACCTGTGTTGCGTAGCTTGTGCTTTGCTGTCTGTGGTTAAATCCGACTGACTGCTCCGTTTTATATATTAAGAAGAAAAGAGAGATAAAAACAAATGTATATTCATCATTCTTGATGATTATCAATATTAAGAGATTGATAAATATTTTTTATAGAATTTAAGACATTTTTAGATAATTTTTATATTTTATACAATTTTATAGATATTTTGATAATTGATATATTTCATAAAATATCCTCGTTTTCATATGCTCATGATCATCTATTCCATTATCAATAATATCACTATCATCTAATTAATTTTTTCATGTAAAAATCTTTTAATAATGGTTGTTACGCATCATTTGATTCCACAAGAATAGACCTAATTGTATAACCTAGGTTTCTTAGGTTTACAATGATTTGCACCAAAAGCGTATTTTTGTGCGGTTAAATAAAATCAATTTGAAATATTAAATTTCTACACTTTATGAAGGAAGATTAGATAATAGGAGTGAATTTTATAGCCACGTAAGTTATACTTATCTGGTATAACCTGATTTGGAACTCTTTGCGCCTTTTTTATACATCGCTTCTAAAAAAGCGTAAATTGTTTCAACTCAGGTTAAATCAGTATGTTTTTCCATAGGTAACTATCATTTCATTCATACCTCAAATAATTCTGGTGCATCGGAAAAAATATGACTATACATATAACAAAGGAAACATCAAGAGATTGTTTATTGTGCAAAAGAAAAACACTAACCTCGAAAACTTCCGAATGATGTCCCCAACTTTTAATGGTTTTTCCTCTCCCATTTATAGCTCTCTTATTTTGAAAAAAAAATAAAACTTATCAAATGTGTTCTCATTGCTACAAATATATTTCCAATAAATATAACCTATCCGAATTGCCAATATTCTGAGCAATATTTAGCCATCTTTAAAAAGGTTTGTCTCTTTCTCCTCTCCAACCGACTGGATAAATTGGCACGACTAAAGACCCTTTTTCATTTTCCAGTGGACAATTTTTTTCCTGTTTTTTTTTTAACCCCATGAATAGAAATGTTGAAGTCGTTTTTAAGAAATGAAATTTTTGACCAACCTACCAACCTATTTCTATTACCACCTGTATTATTTAAAATAATATCTTACTCAACAAATTTTACAGCAATAAAAGGACCTTGACCCACAAGTATAAAACAAGAGAGACCCTTAAGTGCAAAATGCAACAATTTTCTTTAAAGGGATAACATTAATAGAAAAAAAAATTGACGCATAATTTGATTCAGGTTGCACTTACATTAATAATGCATGATAGGTACTTACTGCTTGTGTCGAATCATAAAGAGTTGAACCTGTACAATCTAAGTCGTAAAAGACCCTGTGCTGTTAAACAACGATTTCCATAGCTGCACAAATAATCCTTTACTGTGCATTAAAGCTTGACGTGCTGATCGATAAACTTTAAACTCAACGTCGGCTAATTATAAAGCATTATCACTGAAAGATCGCTCTACAGGTATGATTAGGGGTCTCAACTCTTTTGACTTCCATTTAATTTCAAATTAAAACAGTTCGCTTGACTAGTAGAGGTTTCTTTGTTTTAGAAGATTTTCCAATAAAATTTATCTTCTCTGGAAAAAGTGTGTCTCTTATAATAATGGAAGATTAAATGACAACAATTCCTGATTGTTGAGATCTGTATTAAGGTACTTAACACAAAAAAAAATTGATGAACTGATTGATATATTTTTTTTCTGATTTTGGTTTCAGATAAATAAATAATCAATCCCTGAAATATCAAGATATCGTATGTTTTCCTTTATGCTTAGATATGAGTTTTTCTTTTGCTTTCTGTATAATTCCGTACAAAATTTTGCACGAATTTTAAATCTTGTTACAAAATCTTATAAAATTCTCCAACTATACTTCATGAACATTATTCAGGTTACCAATTTAGATGTAAATCTATGAGAAATATTGCTGGTTTATGAAAAGAAAAATTATGTATTCATAAGGATGAAGACATACCAGGTACATTGTAATATGGAGTTAATAATTATCACAATTTTTTACACCGGAAATATGATACTATAGTCATTAGAGATCTATAGATAAAACATTCTCTATATAAAATATTGCATCATATTTTTTCAGCTATTGCACGTTGCTGAATTCCTAAGGAAGACAAAAAGAATTCCAAAAATGATGAAAAAAATGATAAAAAAAATTTAAAAAGCTCCATTTCTGAATCTTTACTTTCTTAACTTACTTAAAAAAAACTTCCCAGGATAATAATTTGAGAAATTCAATTTTCTTTCTTCAGAATTCACTTTAAAAATCTAAATATTTACAATATCATCATACTCCTACTGTTTTTTTTTTCACAATATAAGAGTACATTACAAGGACCTCTGTCTGGGTTTTATTCATTCACACTCTTTCTTTTATTTCTGTTTGATAAACAAAACTCCCCTCACTGAATATATTTTTTTCAATTATTTTTTTTTGGTTTCAATACTTGATATCACGATAACTTAACTTATTGGAACTTTTTTGCGATGAAGATAGGAACCCTCTGTTTGATGGGGGAAAATGTTTGCTATTGAATGCAATGCATGCGCAAGATCTATCATTGTAGAATTTATAAGGGCATATAAGTAAGATATCATGGTGAAATACCTTGCTAAACATTCGCTAAACAAACCCAATAACATTTTTAAGAGAAGCTTATCCTAAAATGTTACATTTTTACGACATTTCTAATCAAACAAACTCTTCTCATTTAATTTTCATTAAGAATCGTCACATTTTGAAGGTGATAAAATCTCCAAACTTTCTTGCTTGACAAAAAAAAATGTGAGGTGTTCAATCCTTTGCAATACATTGTACTTTCGGCTTGATGATTGTTGAAATGATTATATTGTCACTACTATGTTATGCCCCAGAAATATTGCAGGATTGAGATTTTTCTCGAATCCCACACAAAAGAAGGATAGTAGGTCCGATAACTGCGAAGTACTCGCTATATTATGTATTACATTTAAAAATTAGAGGTACAGTGAGCAACAAGCTTACTAAATGATATTCCTGCCTCCAAAATGATTATAATGACAAAGACCCTGTTTTGCTCTTGTAGACCCGAAATAAGTGTCAGATCAAAAACTAAAATAAGAGGTGCACAATGGCATTATGTAATACAGTAGAGAATCTGTGAAAGTATCATTGAATTTTATTCAGTGGTATAGAAGGATTTGCAGATAAGAAATGGGTACCATTCAATATGAGTATAATACTGGAACATTTTACAAATTCCAAAATTTTTGTTCTTTCAAAATTATATTTCAAATTAATTACATGCAATTTAAATGGGGAACTTGAATTGAAACATTTTCCATTAAAAAAAATCCTGGACCTGGCATCGGTTTTAAATTTATGGGGAAGGGAATGGGGGAAGGGTTGAGTAATTGAGAAGCCAAAATATTCAGCCGAGTAGAGAAATGCTGAAAGTGGATGTCAGCCTATAAAATATATAGGACCCGGTTGTATCAATATTTAATGAATGATTAAAGCTTCATTAAACTGATTATTTTTAATGTGTCATTAAATTCCGTTGTATCAATGTTTTAATGAACGAATCCGGTGCATTAAACCTTCATTAAATTCCTCAATTCTAATGAAGGTAAGGGGGCTTCATTAAGTAGTCATTAAGTATGGCGGCCTACTTTATGTTTTGCCCGCTTGGCAGAAGGAGAAGAATCAGTGCCTTTTGTGAGCCTTTTTCATTGCACATTATGGACGAGGAAATTCGGAAATGATACCGTTTTAAAAAGAAAATGATGGACGGTTTGTCGAACCTTCAATATCTAGACAATAAGACATTTGGAATCACAAATACATCACCTACCTTGTCAACAAAATTATAGGTATAAAGATGCTTCTTTAAATCAAACCACA